CTCCCTGTTTATATTATGCTTCTAATGAAAATTTTCCTTCGAGTTTGTTCTGCATCAGAGTCACTCTTTTAGAATTAAAAAGAAAACACTTAAAACTTCTGATTTTCCATTCTTTTTATTCTTCCTTTCATGTTAGAGCTCTTCTTTACTGTTTTTTTTTTTTCCTTCTCTCAACCTTTTCTCTCTTCCTCTCTTACATTAACTTTTCTTCTCCACTTCCTGAGTCATTGCTTAATTTAGAAGTAAAGGATTTTATTTACTGTATTTCTTCTGGAGTCACTAGAAGAATTAATGAAAGTTAAATACTCAGTAGCTAAATTTTACTAAGTTATAGTTAGTGATAGGGAAAGCAAAACTTTCATCAATTATAACATACTAGCTAAATTATAGTCTAAAAGAGTAATTCAACTTTCATATGCTAAACTTTCAAGCATTAGATTTGACAATAAATGCATATATATAATTGCTTTTACTATTATCTATGGTATATACTATAATAAAGTAATGTAACTTTTTAAAAATATGTATTCACATGTATACTTCCATGTGAATATTGTTCTTCAAAGTAGAAATGAAGCTATACTCTTATCCCAAATATGTTGTCACTGTTCAGAACGTTTTCAGAAATCATTTTGTACTGTGAATTATTCCTTATTACGGACTGAATGTTTATGTTCTCCCAAAATTCATATGTTGAAGTCTACCCCACAATGTGATGGTATTTGGAGATGGGGCTTTGGGAGGTAATTAGGGCTAGATGAGGTTATGAGGGCCCTGGTCTGATGGGATTAATGTCCTTATAAAAAGAGACACCAGAGAACCTGCTGTCTTTTTCTCCCTACCGCCTCCCCGTGCTCCCACAAGAAAGAGATCATGTGAGCACACAGTGAGGTGGTGGCCCCTACTTGTGTAACTCCTGAAGCGTCTCTGAAACAAATCTCAAAAGAGGAACATCAAAATTCTGTTGCACAATTGTTGAAATTACTGTGTTTTACCTTACTAATGGCATTTAAGAAAAAAAGGTCATTTGGCTATAAAAGGTCTCTGTACAGCCTCACCTACTAGAATATTAATGACAATTTAATTACATAAATAAAGCAAAGAACAAGTTAACATATTTCACTTTTTGTATAGTTACTGTTTTGATACATAGGTAATGTATTTTGTTCATTCCTTTAACAAATATTGAATACTGACCGTGAGTCAAGCATATAGAAGGTGCGATAAATACAAGTGCAAGAACAGATATTCTCTTTAAAGGAATTCATACCATGAATATATAATATTATAGAATTAGGAAGTCCAAAGGTTAAATGAAAATACACATTTCCCAGAAGAAAAACATGATTTAATAACATGTTAACGTGCAGTTATAACATTTTTCAAAGAAATGACTCTGGAAGTTTTGTAAAATATTTGTTTTATGGCCAGACAATATATGACTGAAAAAATAAATATCTTAGATATTTATCAAATCCAGCAATTTATAATTTTAACTATTGTATCCATCAATGTGATGAATAGTCCAAATTAGTTACCAAATCTTATTCTAAATTAACTTCTTCAAAAATGAAAAATTTTGAACTTCCAAAGGCCATGTGTCTCTTAAATTCTGCCATTTTCTCCACAATAATCAAAATATAAAACCTCAGAATTATTATACTACACAGAGAAACATTTTAATTGCAACAAATTATATTTCTTGGACCTTTCTATAAAAACTGTTCCAGGAATGAATAGGATCTTCTCATTTAGTTATTAGGATGGCTTAGATTTTTTCAGTAAGGTGATCTTTTTGTAGATGTTTTCATGTTTATAGTAGGTAGCACTCATGAACAGGCAACCGACTGTCTGTGGGTCCACCTAGAAGAATCTGTGATATAAATTTAAAATAATTTATTGTACAATATTGTATTCATTTAGGTTTAATATTGAATACAACTGAACATGAATACTCATGAATATGCTTACTAGCAAGGAAATAAAATATATATAGAATCTGCATATTTTTAAGTAACGTTTGGAAATGTTCCTAATTTTAAATGTGACATTTTCAGATAATTAAACCTTTCCTTAATTCCTGGGCAACAAAGTTTAAAAAGTCAGCCATTTTATTGCTTCTATAACATTTAGCATTTGTGTGCAACACTTCCTAGAGAAAGTACTAAGTAAGGAGGGGAGAGGATGGGTTCATAAGATTGGCATTTACTTGGCCTTATTTCCATTGTTTCTCATGTTGTATGAAGATAGTTGCATATCACCCGTTTCCTAAAATGGAATATGGTAGAATATAGATTCTATTCATAAACGTGTCATTTGTTGATGAAATAATTTTGCCATTTAATCCTAACTGCAAGTTAACATTTTTCATGGATACCAACCCATTTTCTAATAGATCCCATTTTATTGTGACAATATAAACATTATAATAATTTTTATTTATACATTTCATACATTTAAAAAAAATTAAACCTCTTGTTTAATAGTAACAAAAAGAATCATATTCGCTTAGTTCTCTGGCTCAGAGTCTAGCAGTTTATGATTCTGCTCTGCATGTTCTGTGCATCTTTCCTCTTGACTACACTTTTAGTATTAGGCCAAGGAAGCTATTTCATCAAGTTCTGCACATGTTGTTTGATAGATTCCTAAATTATGTATGATTAAAATAGCTTTAAGATTTAAAATGATTAAAAATTGGGAAAATGCCTGCTAACACACTATTTTTGTAAGTCCTTTGTCAGTCCTCCGTAGAGCAGAATTCAGGGCTAAATGAAAATATTACTGAAAATACTTGGACGACTTATTGGAATAGCTACATCTGTATGAAAAAGCTGGATTACTCAGCCGTAAAAAGGAACAAAATTGGGTCATTTGCAGAGATGTGGCTGGAGCTAGAGACTGTCATACAGAGTGAAGTTAAGTCAGAAAGAGAAAAACAAATATCGTATATTAACGCATATATGTGGAATCTATAAAAATGGTATAGATGATCTCACTTGCAAAACAGAAATAGAGACACAGATGTAGAGAACAAATGTATGGACACCAAGGGGGGAAAGGGGGGTGGGATGAATTGGGAGATTGGGATTGACATATATACACTATTGATACTATGTATAAAATAGATAACTAACGAAAACCTGTATAGCTCAGGGAACTCTACTTAGTGCTCCGTAGTGACCTAAATGGGAAGGAAATCCAAAAACGAGGGGATATATGTATACGTATAGCTGATTCACTTTGCTGTACAGTAGAAACTAACACAACATTGTAAAGCAACGATACTCCAACAAAAATTATTTTAAAAACCCACAAAGCTGGGCTTATTATTTCCTTGACAATGGTTTTCTCCAAAAATAATGATGAATTTTAGTTTTAAATTCACCCATCAGGACAAACACTAAAACCTAGAAATCCATTAACCAGTGGTTCCACTGCAACCTTGTTCAATTCATGAATCCGGATGTAATAAAAGAAATAGCGCCTTTTGCCCCAGGTAAAGAAGGTCTTTGAAAATAAAACAGTCAAATTCCAAAAAGGGAATAAGCCAGATTTGCCTGCTGGTTCCATTACGAGTATTTATAATTTCTTCTATTATGGCCAATAATAGGAGAATGAGAACAAGTGAAGAGAAATATTAATAATTGGTTAGTTTCAGTGTAGCAATTAATACTTTACATTGTAAATATAGTCTTTTATGAAATGTATATACAAATGATGTGCAGGTATTACAATAAGGCTGACTTTTGGTGAAATCCCAATGAAGGCCACATGCAGAAGACAGTGATTTTCAAACCCACCTCTCAGATGCAAACATCTAGGGCTCTAACCCCTGCCCACTTTGAAAAGACAAGTTACACTTTTTTTTTTTTTTGCTGTACGCGGGCCTCCCGCTGCCGCGGCCCCTCCCGCCGCCGAGCACAGGCTCCGGACGCACAGGTCCAGCGGCCATAGCTCACGGGCCCAGCCGCTCGGCTGCACGTGGGATCCTCCCGGAGCGGGGCACGAATCCGTGTCCCCTGCATTGGCAGGCGGACTCCCAACCACTGCGCCACTGGGGAAGCCCAAGTTCCACTTTTTAAAAATCTATTTCATATAAAAGGGTTGTGAATAAGATTTCTTTCTTAAACCTCTGAACTAACAAAAAAAAAAGTTCTTTACCTGATCTAGTTTTAGTGACTTGGATAAAATCATCCTCATCCTCATCACAGCTATCACAGTTAAATTGTTGGAGGACTGTTTCTGACTGGCTTTCAGCTTGATTTGCATCTTTCTGCTTATAGAAGCTTCGAAGTGCAACAAGACGGTGATGTATTGCTGCATGCATACATCCTGTATCTTTGGCACTGGCCTGCAAGAGGAAAATTAAGTTGTTAATATAAGTAACTTAATAATAGCCACACTTTACACATTTGTAACCTTTCACTATTAATAAGGAAGGAATTATATGACATAAATCTAGAATATAAATAATCCTAGAAACTAAAGGGTAAAGAGCCAATTCATCTTGAACCAAATTGAATCCTAGAGCAGATAATTTTATGAGGTCCCAATTTGTACATTTTAAACTGAGAAAATGAAATTTTGTGATTTAAATTTTCTATTTGAATTTGTTTGTTAAGACCATCCTTCCTTCACTGTGTTATACTGTAGAAAATTTTAGGGTTGGGGGAAAAAGACTTTCATTTCCTTTACATCACTTGCTTAGACATCCCTGCAAGCTGCATAGCTCTGTAGAAAAGCAGAGCTCATTCGAATAGTCTATGATGTTGTACCATAAACACATCAGAAGTCCTTGCTTTCAGTACTTTTCTATTTTTACAGTTGCTATTAATATAAAAATGATGGTAACAAGAACATTGGTATAACATTTGCTGTTATAATATCCTTTTATTTTTTCAATCCTTATAATAAAACTTTAGGTTGTTTATTCCATTTATGTTAGCAAAAGCACATAGTGCAGGTATTCAGTAAATACTTGTTTCCTCTTCCCTTTACAGATGAGAAAATTATGGCTCAGAAAGGCACAGCTTGTCTGCATTTAAACAGCTAGTTGACAGATTGGCTGGGACTTCGTTTTTGTCATCAAAGTCCGTGTTCTTTAAGGTAACATGTCAGTGGCTTACATTTTTGTATCTTTTCACAATTTCAAAGAAAATCTGGGAAAATTTTTCTCTTTGCTAATCCTTCAGAGAGCTACCAAATATTTCAAAACCAAGAACTGAGGATTGAATCAACTACATGCCAACTTTTGGGGAGAAGGGTCTTAAAATATGGTTTTTCTTTTGTATGTTATTAAGTTACCTTAATTATTTTTAGGGAAAAAAATACACATTAAATAAAATATTTTTGTTTCTCATATTATGTTAGATATTACATAGCAGATGCTGAGTAAATATTTGTTGACTCTTGACCAATTTAATTTTTATATTAAGTACAAGGGTGTAATTTTTCTTCAGTAGGTTAATTAATAACAAATACTGAAAATATATGTAATTGAAATATAAATACAATTCTGCTGCCTTGACTTTTTTACATTAAATTTTAAATATGCCTTTCACTAGTGTGTGTGTGTATATATATATATATATATATATAGCCAAATTCATTCAGATATTTTCATTCAAGAAATTCAGAACAAGAAGTAAAAGCACAATAATATATATATATTTTTGGACAACAAATTTGCAATGCTTAAAAATATTTTCCAGGAAGTACCATAAGAAAATGCCGGTGAGAATGAAAATTGGCTCAGTCTTTCTGGAGATAAATGTGTCAAGACAAGTCAAAACCTTTTCCCAAGAGAATTAACATGTATGTACATAGAGAATTCCTTGCAGAATTTATAATAATGAACATAGTAAATTGCCTAAGTATTTAACAAAACGGGATTAATGGAATAAATTATGGTACATAATAGAACAGAATTTATTTCCACCTATAAAAGAATTCTTGAAGAATGAACTATTTAATAACAGAAAACACTCATTTTCATTGATAAGTGAAAAGGTTACATATGTGTATTTCACAATCAAATGTTAGCTATTTAATCTTCTCAATCACTTTATAAAGTATATTATTATTGTCTTCCATTGGCAGATGAGTAAAATCAGGTTTAGGAGGGCTAAATAACTTGCCTGAAAGTCATGCAGTATGTACAGTATGGTACACATGTATATATGTACCCACACATACATGTATATACTAAAATGTAGTATAAGACCAAAATGTTAATAGTGACCATCTCTGGGAGTGGAATTTTGGGTGATTTTTATTGCATTTTGTTTGCTAATCTCCAAAAATTATCCTACAGTTTAAAAAGTCAGCATGGGCCAGATATTGAGCCGCAGAATCTAGTCATAGTTAAATCTAATTGAATCTAATCATAGTCTCAATCTCAGACAGGCTGCTTTACCCACTCAAAGACAGGGGCATCTGGCCTAGCAGAGTATCCAGTATTATCTCCCTAAATGGTAAACAGGGTTTAGACATCTTACTCTAAGATTTTAACACTCAACATCACTTACATCTAACAGTGCACCTACAGGTAGTTAATAAAACCTTTGGTTTTTCATCAGTGGGCTCTTGCCAACTTTTGTTTTTTCATTATTATATGAAAGCCAATTTACTTGTATTGTCATCTTCTACCTGAGTTGCTTAGATATTCAGTCTTCTCAAGTCTTCTGAGACTCGGCCTATGGGGGAAATCCAGCCTTTTTTCTCGCCTGATTCATGTCATCTCTGTCTTTTTTGCCTGGATCTTGTATTTGAGGTCAAGCATTCCTGCTGCCGGAACAGCTAAAGCTGTGCTCCCATCCTGTTACCTTGGAGACTGACTCATATCCAGAATTGGAATTTGCTATTGGACTGGTTGTTTTAACTTGCTAGCCCTGTGTTTTTCCATTTCTCACTGGTTCCTTTCCAGTGATTTCAAAGCCTCAATTTCAGCACGCAGTGTAAGCATCAGGGTGTGGATTCTGCTGGCCTCCTAGGAGCCAATCCTGACAGTAGTCTCTCTGGAATTTAGTAAGATGGTTGACATAATTTTAATAGTAAAGAAAAATGTAGGGGTTTGACAGCATGTACCAATACAAATGTCTTGGGACCAGTACCAATTGACTGCTTTGAACTGTTGTTAATCTCTAAATTTCATGCAAAATTTAGGTCTTATATTAGACTGTAAACAACCATAATAAATGGCTGATTTTTTGCTAATGGTATAGGTTATTTTAATAAAATGAAAAAAACAAATGTGACTGCAGAGATCTATAAATATAGTAGGATAACCCTCTATCACTGAAATTTGTCACTTACCTGAATTAAAAACACTTTGATGTTATAGTCTTCTAAATCAGTAGCTGTTATTCGTAAATTTTTGTGGTTTGCTTTCTGAATCTCCATTTGAGCCCAGAGTTTACTATTGAGAATCAGCCTCAGGCTGCCTTGATTGTGCATAACTAAAATAGGAAGATGAATTTATCAGACTTCAGAACAGTTGATTCCTTAGCCTTTCAGAGGAATTTGCCATTTTGGAAAGCAAATAAATCTGGTAGTTGTTTTTCAGACTCTATTGTCATTACTAAATTGTAATTTAATTGACTAGATTATAATTTGGTTTCCAAATTGGGCTTTATTATGTTGGAGGACCTTTTTATTAGCTTAAATGCTAAAAATGCTATATTTTTTTTACTATAATATTAAAAAATGGTTAAATTTTAGAATTCCTTTGAGGACATAATGGTCTGAAGAATATTTACCCAAGAATTGTTTATAATGGAGAAAACTGAAACGAAAACTTTAAGCATTCAAAAAATGGAATCAGTTAAATAAATGATGGTACAGCTATTGAGGATATTATGAACTCATTAAGAATACTAAAGAAAGATAATTATTAATGTAGAAAGGTGACCATGGCATACTATGCAAAAGAAAAAAAATCAGGTTACAAAGTACTATAGACACCATTTATCACAAATTTTTCAATGTATTGTATACATTTATTGTATACAAAGTCCTTAAGAATATATTTTATTGACAGAAGCTAGCTACTACAGGAAGATAGGCCTATGAGTAATTTAATTTTTTTTCTTCTTGTCGATCCATATTTTCCGTCTTCTGTAATGGACATGTATTACCTGTCTAATTAAAAGAAAAGTTGTTTTGTGCATTTTTTTGGCGAGTAGTGGAAGGAGTGAAATTAAACCAGAGTAGAGAACAGCTAATACCTGCCTTGGGAATGATAGTCAGGTTATTTAGAAACCTGTTTGCCAGTGCTCCTAACTCTCTTAGTCTGAATTCTATCCCTTACTCACTTCTTGAGATTGATATCTGAAACTCACCAGATATCCATTTACCAGCTTCTACTTGTGGTCTCCTCCACAAGATTTGACCACCCGATATTGACCAGTAAATCCATCTACCCCGGCCCAGATCTCTGCCTGTGCTTACTTTCAGTTTGGACCTCTGAACAATGCCCAGTGTGTCTTTTGGATGCCAGAAACCTCCTCAGGCTTTTGGTTTGGCTGACCAAATTCTGACCAACACTCTGCCTGAAGGATTCAATAACCACACACCTTTATTTACTTGGAAATTGACCTCTTATCCCAACCCACACACTGTGTTTAGAATGCCAAGAATAAATTACAGGGCAAATATTCTCTTTTAGAAAAACGATTCCACTTCAAAAATAAATTCATCACATTCCTTTAAATAATAATGATTACTATTTAGGTGTTTGCTGGGCTTGGTCATAGGTGCTCTACGTGCATTATCTCACTGAATTCTCACACTCACTAAGTCATGGACTTCTATTATTTCCACGTTAAAGTGATGCAACTGGGGCAGAAGGAGAGTAAGTAATTTGTCCAAGGTCACCAGTTAGTAATGGAGCCAGAACTAGAACCTGTATAGTCTGACATCAGAGCCTACTTTAAATAGGAAGCTCCTATAGTACATTAAAAATAATATTGTTTAATTTACTGACAGCAGTCTAATTTATTGACAGAAGTCTAATTTATTGACACATAACACATCTCCAGAAAATGATGTGTACTTATATTGGAAAAATTTCCCTGAGAAATACTGACTCGCTTTACAAAATGATTCCTTACTTAGTCTTGACTGGAATGTTCCACAATCACTGCTTGCTGTGTCATTCAGTCTCAAAGCTCCTCTGCCCCTTTCAATCCAGGACTGTGTTGTTTTGTTGAATATAAAAAGCTTGCAGTTGATCTAAAGGACAATTTTTTAAAATGTCAAAATATAGAAAACTTTTCAAAGTGATTTCTTTCCTATGCTATAACACTTTTATTTGTCTGATACTTTACCAGAATAACCTTTGTTAATGATTTCTAAGCCAGCTTTAAAATTTTACTTAGCTTCTGAAACAATAGTTTTTGAATAGTTCAAACATTAAAAAGCAAAAAGATGTACAAAGTGAAAAGTAACCCCACCAACACTAGTTCCCCATCTACCAGTTTTCACCCCCTACAACAGGTAATCACTGTTGCTAATATTTTGTTTATCCTTCTAGAGATATTTGTATGTATATACATGCCAATATGTATATATTTTTCTCCTACTTTTTCTATAAAAATAGAATACCATATGGTAGAATACCATAAATACTTTCCACATCTTTCTTTTTCACTTAACAATATATCTGTATGTACCAACTTATAAATTAAACAATGTTATTTGAATTATGTAATTTATCTGAAAGTTAAGGAATCATGGAATTATTTGTATGCTTTAAAAATTTTAGCAAATACAGCATCCGAACTAGCATGTGATACCACAGAGTACCATACGATAATTTAATGCTTACCAGTGGTTCTCAAATACTACTATGTACAAGAATCACCTAGATGACTTGTTAAAAATATAGCATGTCAGGGCCTTACCCCTAGTGATTACTTCAGTGAATCTGGGATTAATCTGATCTGAGAGTTATGCTGTGAGACACACTTGTACAGTAAGTGTATCAGTAGATCAAGGGGGAAGAAAATAGGAATGAAGAGAGTTTGGGGTAAAACAGATGGAGAAAGGCTAAGGGAAATCTGTGCTTTGTTGAAAATGATTAAGTTGTAGTAATTACATTTTATATG